GGAGGGGGGTGGGAAAGTAAAGTAGCTAATAAAACATACTATAAAACAGAGATATACATTAAACCATAAGATGCTCAATATAGAAGGCTACATTCATCCAACAGTGAGGCAGAACCTCTAGGATCCCATATTTAAATGGGAAAGGCACAAAAAACAGCTGAGTAAAACATTTATCAGCAAAGTTCAATCTTCTGCAGGAATGTTTGGTCTAGAGACACAAGTTGTCTTTAATTCACAGATATCTGTCAAAATACAAAGATGAAAGCTTCCACACTTAACTTGATTAATAATTTGTAAGTTCAGAGGCTTTCATATTTAAGTGTATCCTAGTTTTTAGTCCTCAGCCCACTAAGTATTGAAGCAAAAATAAGGTTAACAGTTGTACAGTTGCAAGAAAAAAGTATGTGAACCCCTTGGGATTACGTGGAGTTTTGCATGAATTGGGCATAAAATGTGTTTTGCATGAATTGGGCATAAAATGTGCTCTGAACGTTATCTAAGTCACAACAATAGAAGAACACAGTCTGCTGAACATAATACTACACAAACATTAGATGTTGCCATGCTTTAATTGCACATAACATGTAAACATTCACAGTGCAGGGAGGAAAAAGTATTTGAGGCCCTAGCTTAATGACTTTTCCCAGAGCTAATTGGAGCCAGGAGTGAGCCAACCTTGACTCCAATCAGTGTGATGATATTGGATGTGTTGCTGACAGCTGTCCTGCCCTTAAAAAACACACACCTGTTTTGGGTTTATTGGTTTCAAGAAGCACTGTCTGATGTGAACCATGCCTCGCAGAAAAGAGTTCTCAGAAGACCTACGATCAAGAATTGTTGACTTTCATGAAGCTGGAAAGGGTTACAAAAGTATCTCCAAAAGCCTTGATGTTCATGTGTCCACGGTAAGACAGACTGTCTACAAATGGAGAAAGTTTAGCACTGTTGCTACTCTCCCTAGGCGTGGTCGTCCAGTAAAAATGACTGCAAGAGCACTGCGCAGAATGCTGCATAAGGTAAAGAATCCCAGAGTGTCATCTAAAGACCTACAGAAATCTCTGACACATGCTAACATTTGTGTTGACACATCTACAATAAGGAAAACATTAAACAAGAATGGAGTACATGGGAGGACACCATGGAGGAAGTCATTGCTGTCCAAAAAGAATATTGCAGCACGTTTGAAGTTTGCAAAAGAGCACCTGGATGTTCCACAGCACTACTGGCAAAATATACTGTGGATCGATGAAACCAAGATTGAGTTGTTTGGGAAGAACACACAACACTATGTGTAGAGAAAAAAAGGCACAGCACACCAACATCAAAACCTCATCTCCACTGTAAAACATGGCAGAGGGAGCATCATGGTTTGGGGCTGCTTTGCTGCCTCAGGGCTGGACGGATTTTTGTCATTGATGGAAAAATGAATTCCAGAGTTTATCAAGACATTTTGCAGGAAAACGTACGACCATCTATCCGCCAACTGAAGCTCCGCAGAGGATGGGTGATGCAACAGGACAATGACCCACAGCATACAAGTAATTCAACAAAACAATGGCTGCAACAGCACAGAATACGCCTTCTGGAAAAGCCCAGTCAGAGTCCTGACCTCAACCCGATTGAAATGCTGTGGCATGACCTTAAGAGAGCGATTCACACCTGACATCCCAAGAATATTGCTACACTGAAACAGTTTTGTGAAGAGGAGTGGTCCAAAATTACTCCAGATCATTGTGCAGGTCTGATCTGCAACTACAGGAAACATTTGGTTGAGGTTATTGCTGCCAAAGGAGGGTCAACCAGTTATTAAGTCCAAAGGTTCACATACTTTTTCCTCCCTGCACTGTGAATGTTTACATGTTATGTGCAATTAAACCATGGCAACATCTAATGTTTGTGTAGTATTATGTTCAGCAGACTGTGTTTCTTCTATTGTTGTGACTTAGATAACGTTCAGAGCACATTTTATGCCCAATTCATGCAAAACTCCACGTAATCCCAAGGGGTTCACATACTTTTTCTTGCAACTGTAGGTATCCACTGCCCTCCACAGTTTCTGTTGGTGAGAATCTGCATTCCAGGCTAGTTGGATAATGGTTGGAGGATCCCCCTATCTCCCTGGTCTTATCTTCCGGTCTCTGACACAAAGTCAGAAACTGCATCACAATCATCTGCAGGGGCCCCTGTAACCAAACCTTGCTGCAACATTAAACTGGAGGTATCTTTATTAATAACTACACTGCTCGAAAAAAATTAAAGGAACACTTTGAAAACACATCAGATCTCAATGGGGAAAAATGTCATGCTGGATATCTATACTGATATGGACTGGGTAATGTGAAGTGAAAGTGAAAAATAATGTACCAGGCTAGTCCATTTTGCTGAAATTTAATTGCAGCAACTCAAAATGGTACTCAGTAGTTTGCATAGTCCCCACATGCTTACATGCATGCCTGACAACGTTGGGGCATGCTCCTAATGAGACGACGGATGGTGTCCTGGGGTATGTCCTCCCAGATCTGGACCAGGGCATCACTGAGTTCCTGGACAGTCTGAAGTGAAACCTGGCGGCGTCAGATGGACTGAAATATGACATCTCCTAGGTGTTCTATTGGATTTAGGTCAGGTGATTGTGGGGGCCATTCAATGGTATCAATTCCTTCATCCTTCAGGAACTGCCTGCATACTCTCGCCATATGAGGCTGGGCATTGTCGTGCACCAGGAGGAATCCAGGACCCACTGGACCAGCATAGGGTCTGACAATGGATCCAAGGATTTCATCCCAATACCTAATAACAGTCAGAGTGATATTGTCTAGCCTGTAGAGGTCTGTGTGTCCCTCTATGGCTATGCCTCCCCAGATCATCACTGACCCACCACCAAAACGGTCATGCTGAACAATGTTACACTCACCATAACATTCTCCATGGCTTTTCCAGACCCTGTCATGTCTGTCACATGTGCTCAGGGTGAACCTGCTCTCATCTGTGAAAAACACAGAGCACCAGTGGTGGACCTGCCAATTCTGGTGTTTGAATGGCAAATGCCAATCGAGTTCCATGGTGCCAGGCAGTGAGCACAGGGCCCACTAGAGGAAGTTGGGCTCTCAGGCCACCCTCATAAAGACTATTTCTGATTGTTTGGTCAAAAATATTCACACCAGTGGCCTGCTGGAGGTCATTTTGTAGAGCTCTGCCAGTGCTCATACTGTTCCTCCTTGAATAAAGGAGCAGATACTGATCCTAGTGATGGGTTAAGGATCCTCTACAGCCCTGTCCAGCTCTCCTAGAGTAACTGCCTGTCTTCTGGAATCTCCTCTATGCTCTTAAAACTGTGCTGGGAGACACAGAAAACCTTCTGGTAATGGCACATATTGATGTGCCATCCTGGAGGAGGTAGACTGTCTTTGCAACCTCTGTAGGGTCCAGGTATCGCCTCATGCTACCAGTAGTGACACTGACCCTAGCCAAATGCAAAACTAGTGAAAAACAGCCAGAAAAGATGAGTAGGAAAAAAATGTCAGTGGCCTTCACCTGTAAAACCAAAACCATTCCTGTTTTGGGGGTCATGTCATTGTTGCTCATCTAGTGCACCTGTTGTTAATTTCATTAAAATCAAAGCAGCTGAAACTGATTAACAACCCCCTCTTCTACTTAATTGACCAGATGAATATCCCAGAAGTTTAATTGACTTGATGCTATACTCTTGATTAAAAAGTGTTCCTTTAATTTTTTTTGAGCAGTGTATATATACCTGAGTATATGTGTACAATTCTACCAGAACTCATGTTGGCCCCACTGCTAATAATACCTGTTTGTATATTTGATATCTGTACTAATATCATTTTTTTCTTATATAAAGCCTGCATTACTTCCCTACTGGTGTGCATCTACTGTATATACTGTAATTATAGTTATTGTTATATGGTGGTCGCAGTAGTTATTATGCTCCCAATTACCTCGATTAGCTTAATGGTTAATTTTCTAGGAAGGGAATCTCCTCTGTTCACAGAGGCACTGTGGGTATTATCAAACCCACTGTTCAGCTTAACAAAGGTTCTTGTTCTCTTATTTATCTACAAGTTTAGTTCAATATTCGGTTTATGGAGAGCCATTTGTCATAACACCCACAAAAGAGGGCTACACAGCTCTAGAGGATATGCACAAAAACAAGACAACAGTGGCATCTTTCATATATCCTTTTGGACAATGCTGAGCAGATAGCGGAGTCCATAATTTGGTCAGAAGATATCTTGCTCCAAGTAAGGCTGTGGTTCAATTCAGCAGTATGCCAGTGGCACAGAAGCAAATCCCAATTTTAGCTGTGTATGAATAAAAGCTATGTTTTAGAGCTTAGTGGGTTCTGTGCATAGAGAGACTGATGCACAGCTTCCTGCAATGATTTATCAGTTTTGGTTCCCACAAAGTAGCCTGAAATAAATTTGGTTCTAGATCTTCAGGTGAATTTATTCGTTTATAGCTCCAATTCAAGTTTGATGAGACTGGTTTACCTATCAATAGATATGGTGCACATTGTAATAGTTTAACCACTTGCCTACCAGGCACTTATACCCCCTTATTTACCAGGCCAATTTTCAGCTTTCAGCGCTGCCGCACTTTGATTGACAATTGCACGGTCATGCAACATTGTACCCATATGAAATTTTGATCATTTTTTTCTCACAAATAGAGCTTTCTTTTGGTGGTATTTAATCGCCACTGGGCACTTTACTTTTTGCGCTATAAATAAAAAAGTGCAAAAAATTTGAAAAAAAAAAGTTTCTTTGTTTCTATTATAAAATTTTTCAAACAGGCATTTTTTCTCCTTCACTGATGTGCGTTGATGAGGCAGCACTGATGGGCACTGATAGGCGGCACTGATGGGCACTGATAGGCAGCACTAAAGGGCACTGATAGGCAGTACTAATGAGGTGGCACGGATAGGCGGCACTGATAGACAGCACTAATGAGGTGTCACGGATAGGCGGCACTAATATGCAGCACTGATAGGCGGCACTGATAGGTGACACTGATGATGGGTACTGATAGACGGCACTGACTGGCATCACTGCTGGGCACTGACTGGCGGCACTGACTGGCACAACCGCTGGGCACTGACTGGTGGCACTGACTGGCAGCACTGCTGGGCTGCACTGGTGGGTGGCACTGGTGGGCAGCACTGGTGGGTGGGCACAGGTGGGTGGCACTGGTGGGCACAGGTGGGTGGGCACAGGTGGGTGGCACTGCTGGACACATGTAGGTGGCACTTCTGGGCACAGGTAGGTGGCACTGCAGAGTGGCACAGGTGGGTGCACTGCTGGGCACAGGTGGGTGATCTGCTGGGCACAGGTGGGCGGAGCTAGTGGGCGCACTGCTGGGCACAGGTGGGCGGAACTTGCGGGTGGCACTGCTGGGCACCGATCATCAGGGCACTGATCATCAGTGCCCTGATGATCGGTGCCGATCCCCGCTCTGACAATTGCCGGTTCTCGGCAGTACTTTCCTCACGATCTGACAGCGTGAGGAAAGTGCAGCCGAGAACCGGCACTTGCATTTCCCTCTGATCAGCGTGTCATTGGATACCGCTGATCAGGTGGTAAAAGGCCGCGTGATTGGCCTTTTACCACATCACGTGATCAGCTGTGTCCGTAGGACACAGCGATCACGGAGATCGCCGGGTGCGCGCCCCCTGGGGCGTGCAGGAGAGCGCGTTCTGGGGGGACGTCATATGACGTCCACTCAGAACTGGCCGGCCGCAGTGAAGCCGTCATTCGGCTATCTGCGGTCGGCGGGTAGTTAAAGTGACCCTCTGGGGGTTATTTGCTAAAGCTGGAGAGTGCAAAATCTGGTGCAGCTCTACATAGAAACCAATCAGCTTCCAGGTTTTATTGCTAAAGCTTAATTGAACAAGTTGGATTTAGAGGTTGATTGAGCTGGCCCAGATTCTGAGTGCTCCAGTTTTACTAAATCTCCCCCTTAGTGTTATTTATGAAGAAATGCAAATATAGAGGGCCATTTAATACCCCATTCTCCCCCCAGCACATACTAAATGTTCTTTCATTCCGCTGCCTTTTTATTCAGCCACTGGAAGTAAACTAACACTTCTAGGACTTGGTATGTTTGTGCCTCACTCCATCTCTTCTAAGTTCTGCTGCCTGTTGGTTTTTCCTGTGCTGTCACATAGGACCAAAGAGAAATCTATAGGTCTGTAAGCTTTAAGACATTGTTTAGAAGTTGAATATATGGCATGCTGCTAGGAAGGAGAGCATATACATGACACTTTTACTCTGCTTATCCAAAAGTATGAATTTACTTAAATTTATTTGATGCGTAACATACATTCACTGTTATAAGGGGAAGGACCTATATGACCTACTGGTAAGAAGTGAGTCTTTGTTCTAAAATGTAGTGAGTCATTTCCAAAATGCAGACAATTACGGACAATCCTGTGATAAATAAATGTGAACGCAAGGCAAAAACATTTATAATTGCATGAAACACAAAAGTTAAATTCTACCTATTAATGCAGCTGTTGCTACTCATTTCAAATCTTGTATCCAATTTTATGTCCCTGTAAAATGTGGTGTAATTAGGCAGGCACATTATTGTTACAAGTGCCATGCCAAAATAGCTCCTGAGAAGGGATTCTATTCAAAGAAATATATCAGTCCCATTTTCTTTCCTCAGGGATAAATGTTTACTCACATACGATAGGTTTTAAATTTCTACCTACAAATCGTTATGTCGTTATGGACTTAATGATCTGGCATTGGGTGTTTACAGCATAAACAGGTTTTTTTTCATTCAACAACCACTAAAAATGTACATTGAGGGTAGTCTCAGAAGATATTCAGATGCTATTTATGATATTTAGAATCTTCAAAGTTTTACCGCATGCAGAACAAGAAACAGCCTGCGTAGTAGATCCAACTCTGCAATTTCTAGGTTTTTTTCTCTACCTTAGAAACTCTGTCACTAATATATCCCAGAAAAATGACCCTGCCTAACTCCTGCTTGCCTGTGTGTGTTAAGCAGAGTGACTTGGCACACACATAGTGATAGGTGAGAAACCAACATAAACCTACACAATTTTTCAGTACTTTTCCCACATCCAAATGTCAGGCTGTTCTGACAAACAAAATCTTGGCATTCTCCAATAGTGCTGATGCTGGTCCCCATTTTTCTGCCTCCTGCACATTACTATTGGCCAGTTAGCTAACTTATAATGGTGACAAAGCAATAGTAATATGTAGGAGTGGAAGGGACCTGGCTATCTCCAACACTACCCAAAAGTGTTGTATCCTTAATTGTCAGAACTACCCAGCTTGCTCACAAAGTAGGGAGGTACTGAAAGCTGCTGCTAGCATGTTCAGGCAATGTTTGGTTTTCTTAAAGTGAAAAAGTCTGTTTAATGAACTTACTGTATTACTGCTTCAGGTAGATCATTGTTGACCAAGTTGAGTCCTAGTTGATTCATAATTAACAAGTAAGGATGTGCAACTTTAGGCTCCCAAACATACTTAGGGTTAGGTTTTAACTAAATATTGTAATGAAGGTTTGAGCTGATTTTTTTTAAAGGATAACTCGATTTCATTTAACAAATAATATAACAAACCATTTTTAAACGGAATATTGTTAAAAAGCAACTTTTCATTTCAGTATGCAGCCTATTTTCCAAAACTAACAAAAACAATCAAATGTCATTGCTTTGCCACCATGGCTACAGAGGGTGTTCTGTATACATTTTGCACAGGATGCTTCCAGAAATGTTATTTTCTGTGCATCCAATTAGTTTACAGATTTTCTCAGCAATGTTTCTCTTATTGCAGCACTGAAATGGATCATGTCATTATAGCAACTACAACCAGGAATTCAGGTATGAATGTGCACCTAACAGCAGAGAAAAGTCACCAATGAAGTTTCCTAACATACTTGCGCAGTACATAACTGGAATTGCACTTTAAATTCCTCAGTAGGTCATATCTCTAAAAGAAGGGAGAAAAAAAAATAAAAATGATGGAAAAATCATTTAGTTGTGTTTTTTTTTTAATGAAGACTGAACACAAGATTGTACACCTTGATATTATGCTATAATTTAAAACCCCAGCATTCAATTTCTCAGTAACCAAATGGAAAACCATTGCCAGTGGTTTTGTAACACGGCTCTTGAAAAATGTAATCTTCTTTTCAATTACATTCCCTTTGTAAATATAGCAACATCCATCTTTACCTATATATAAGAATTTTATTTGATGCTACCCTCTAACATGCCTTTCAAAAACTATATCTGTACGTCTGTTGTATAACTCTGTGGCCTGATAACTAATCATGCAGTATTCATAAAATAGTCATTGTATTATTTCTCCAATACAAACTGTGTTTTATTGGTATGCAGCTGGTGTTCTCAACATACCTATGGGACTTGAAATTCAATGACTGCAGAGCATTTCTTACAAACAGGAAACACATTACACAGTTGAAGTGTTCTCGCAAAATGTTGATCTCTTATAGTAATGGACTAGAAAAGAAAGTAATATCCATTGTGTAATGCTGCTTTATGAAAGAATAGCCCAATCTAAGCATGACTATATAACAGCTCTGGTTATCAATAACGGAATTGCTTTTCAGGAGAATGTGAAAGTAATATTGAGTGAAATAGTACAAGTTTTTAGTCCATGACAAGGCTGTGTATTTGGATTTATCTTTATCAGTGTATGCAGATGATATGAACATTGACATTAAAACATCTGATAAATGTGATAACTATATCTTTCATTTTGAGTCATTGCTGACTTCTTAAACAATATTTCTGGAAGACTTCAAAGTAGAGATCTCAGCAGTATAAGTACACCAAATCTTGTTTTTGCTGTGGTGACAAGGGAAGTTTAATTGCTATTGTTGTACTGTGTGCAAAGCAAAGTAAATTTTAGTCCAACAGGGAAGACACCAGCAATGGGTTGGAAAACACAGGTGCAGACATCTTAGCACCAGAGTCTCTTAATGGTTTAAGATCATGGTGGGTGATTCAGTCCACAGTAATCTACACAAGACTGAAAAATTAGTTCAGCACATTTTAAAAACATGGTATATCCCATATACTGAAGACTATTAGGACACTAGGATTTTCAAACATCATACTGCGGATGATTCACTAGTTGGAACCGTCTCAAAGTCTACAGAAAAATTTGCAGCTGGAGGGCTTTACTGAAAACAATGACAGACTCCTGACCTGAAAATGCATTGACTTTATTACTTTGAGAAGTTTACATACAAAAGTAGTGAAGCCTCATACTGCTGATCCCTGGTGTACAAAATCTTTATTCTATAAGCAATGACACAGACACTTGTTCCCATGACCTTCCTCTGATAGCTCTCTGTCACTGCTGACAGATAAAAGGCTTTGCAAGAGATCAGTCGTGTGTGGCTTCACTACTATCAAGCATAAACAGTGTGGGGGAAATGACTGATGTTGATGGTATCTGCCGCTGGAAGGAGAGAGGCACAGGACTGCAGAGAGGTTTCAAAGATATGATATTTTGAGATGTGCATTCTCTTGCTTTACACAAAATTACCTTAAATGATAGTCATTATGCTAATATGAAGAATGTCTGTCTTATGAGGTCCCTGCGTCAGCCCAGAGGGCAGTAGTGCCATAGAATCAGAAAGACATACTATACTTTACAGTATACCACAGCACACAGAAGGCCTCGTCTCTCACACCCCAATCATCACACCTATATGAGTTTATTGGGCAATTTATTTCAACACAATAGGCATTAATATGGAGTTGTTCACCCCTCTCCCTTTGCAGCTATAACATCCTCCACTCTTTTATAAGAAAGCTTTCCAAAAGACTTTGGAGTGTGTCTGTGGGAATTTGTGTCTAATCAGCCAAAAGAGCATTTGTGCAGTTGGGTATTGATTTTGGATGAGAAGACCTGGCTTGCAATCATTCCAACTTTTTCAAAGAGTGCTCAGTAGGGTTAAGATCAAGGCCCTGTGCATCAACTTGAGTTCCTCCACACCAAAATCATCAAACCATATCTTGGTTTTGTAAACAGTGGCACAGTCATGCTGGAACAGAAAAGGGCCTCTTTCAAACTGTTGTTACCAGGTTGGAATTGCACAGTTTCTAAAATGTCTTTGTATGCTGTAGTATTTGGTGTACAAAAAGATTTTAGTATAACAGTATTATTTACTGAAAAAAAACCTTAACTCAACCATTTTGAGTGATGTACCCATACTTCGCACCAAATAGGTAGGTGTGATAATCAGGTGTCCAAAAACGATTGGCCAAACAGTATAACTCCTAAAAGTTGACTGCCTTCTTCTGTCAGGAAATAGACACCAATAAAAAAAATAATCATGGTGACGGTACACAAATTAGTGGCCCCACTGCACTGGGCTTTATGCCATGGGTCCACTAAACTGCAAACCTATCTTTGTGCTGCGAGTGTGCCACAGGGTGCACTTCCAGCACAGAGACCAGGATCTCACTGAGAGCCCTGGGTCCTGCTCTAATGACTGAGAACCTGGAACTCCCAAATCCGGGTCACCAGATCGCTACGA